GATTTTGTGCCTCTCAGAATCACTTTACATAGTGTGCACAATGTTTTCCAGCAACCTCAAAGTTAAGGAAAAGTATCTTTCCCCAAGTATGACAGAAGCAATGTGGAAAGGATTCTGGCTTAGTCTGGGTCACTTTATTGTAAGTCTCTGAGCAACTATCTGGGCCCAAGGAAGAGGAGTCCTATCATCTGCAAGGCCTGGGTTGTATGTCCACTCCTAAGTCCCTGAACAGAGAGGGCACAGGCAGTTCCATCCAAACCATCTAAACTAGGTGTCCCCAGGAGAAATCTGATGGAGCACTAGGCAGGGAAAAGAATGACACATATCTTTTTTAAGGATCAATCTTTTCGATAAGTGCAAATCTCCTAATCAGCATGACAAGTGGCCTAAATTAAACAAAGTTCTGTAACCATATGTTCAAGGGTTGCATTTCACTTGAGGGTTTAAGACTCAGCCAACATTTTAAATTTTATCTGTTTGCTAATTATCCTTCCTTCCTGCACCCATTAATCAGGGCTTTGTCTTACCAGTATACAACATACTGATACATACATATATGAGATTGTTGGGAAGAAAAACTACACCAATGAAATACTGTGTCTGTGTGTCTATCACTCCATAGTGCAGAGCCCAGTGCTTCACAAGCGCCATGGAACTTCCAGTGTTCCATGTGGCTTGGGCTTTCATGTTGTCACCAAATACACCTGTCACCTAGGTTAAAAACAGCTCTTCTAGTTTTGTTTTCCAAATATATTATTTTCTTAGAGGTTGAGCTAGAAGGAAATGAATTTAAAGGAAGCAAAGGGTAGAAAACTTACACTACAAGCCAGCTTCCTTCTACCCACACCTATATATGCTCTGTTACTTCCTACAGATTAGAGGTTAAAATTCATCTACCATTTTCCATTAGGTTAGTACATGAGAGCTTTTGATTACATTGGCTTAACTCTTGCCACAATACCTAAAATGCTTCTGTTTGCAAACAATTTGGTTCACAAACAAAAGCACTGGGCAAAATTTTGCTTCAGTTCACAAACTCCCCATCAGGTGACAGACACAACCAAAGTCACCTTTTCCAAAACCGTGAAACAAATTAAGTTTATAAACCGAGGTACCACTGTATTTTCTACTTTAAAATGCAGTAAACACATCCAGTGAATAGAAGATCTTCACCTAGAACCAGGGTCCTGCAACCTAAGATCCAAAGCTATTTCTGTGGCTCTTAACTTAGTGAAGATTTGATCACTCAGATTTGAAAGCAAAAACCATCAAATTCCATTGCCTCATGTTACTAGGCAACTGGGAAGTTGAGAGTAGGTCTTCATGGACATTAGATTCCTGGATCACCTTGCAAACCATGGTTGCAAGGAGAAAGACTGAAAAGGAGGCAGGCACTGAAAGACTACCTTTTTTCATTCTTGAATCAGTAGTCACAGATTGCTAATGCCCAAGTGAGGTAAAGAAGACTCAGCCTGGACTTCTAAACTCAGATTGTTCTTTTCAGCCCAGTTTCTTCTCAAAGCTTGCCCTCCTGCCCTTGACAAGAAGAGTACAAAAGGGAGGAGTAAGATATTTCCTTGGTGCATGTCTGTGATTTCAGTGCCTCAGGAGTTTGAGACAAGTGATCACAAATGCAAGTTCAAATCTAGCCTGGGCAATTTAGCGACTTAGCAAGAACTTATCTCAAAAGAGGATGGCATGGTTGTAGCTTGGTGAAAAGGCCCTGAGTTCAACCCCCAGTATTGAAAAAAAAAAGTGTCTAACCACTCTTCCCTAACCCCCACATTTTGTTTTGGAACCTCTGCAGACTCTAAATTTGAAAATTGAAAGATTGTAAAATCGAAATATGCCAAATATAGGTCAGCGGAATAAAAAGAGCCTCCCCTTTGGTTAACTATACAATCTCAGGTAAGAAATGAATTTCTCAAGATTTTTGGTTTGTTCTCCAGAAACTAGAGGTCTCTGCTTTTTATATAATGGATGTTCCTAAGTATACACAAAAGGAAATTTTCCTTAAAAGTCATTTTCTGTTAGTTTTTATAACACAAGTTGCCAAGATAAATACCATGCAGACATATACTAACAAATTAATGTGTGGGGTTTAAGCTTTGGTTTGTCTCTCAGAAATATCCAAACACTCTGACTTTTGATTTGGAAAGTGTGTATTTGAAACAGATGTTGAGATCCATGCAAATGCCTAAAACTTCTTTGTGTTTTATTTGTACTATGATGGGTATGTGGTAACTAAGAGGCTATTAATAACATTTTTTGAAGTTAATTGCTAAAAGTTTACTTCTCTTGGAGTGATTATTTGGCATGGAGCTTTGGAGAAGCAAGACAGTATGCAGTGGAGCCTTCAAGAATGGGCATAGTGATCTTATAAGAAGAGACATGAGAGGTGATTTCTTTCTCCACCATGTGGGGATACAGCAAGAAGATATCCATTTCCAAACCATAAAGAAGATCATTTCTTATCTTAGAGCCTCACCAAGAACTGAAATGGGCAACACCTCAATATTGGACTTTCCAGTCTCTAGAATTGTGAGAAACCTATTTCTGCTACCCAAGGCATAGTATTCACAGGATTTTGTTACAGTAGCCAAAACTAAGATAGCAGTTGAGATCAAGAAATGGGCTGCTGTAGTAATCAATGCATAAAAATGTGGAAGCAGCTTTGAAATGAAGTAATGCATAGAAACTGGAAGAGGTAAGGTGCATGATGGAAGTAGCTGTTCCTGCCTTTTAGGATTGATAAAGGTGATTTTGTTGTGGGAGAGAAAGGATTGAATAAAGCTGGAGACAAAGCCTTTTTTTCATGAACAGCATGTTGGTTGAAATAAAGATAGTAAAGATCATCTGATGAGGTATCAGATAGAAACCAGTAACATTTTATTGGAAACTGGGATCTTCGTTATAAATGGCAATGAAATTGGCTGAATCGTGTTTCTATTTTAGTGATTGGTGGAAGGTGAAACTTATGAGTAATGAAATTGGGTATATAGCTGAGGAGAACACAAAGCAAAATGTTAAAGGAGCGGCTTGGTTCCTGTTGTTTACAGTAAAATAGGATAAGCAAGAAGTAGATTGAAAGACATAATTATTAACCAAAACTAGCCAGAATTTAAAGGTTTGGGGAATTCTCAGCATGCCCCATCACAAAAGTTAAGAAAACATTCTAAAGAGAACACTTAAGGGTGCAATAGACCATCCAATGAGTAACATGAATATTAAATGCAGCCTTAATCAGCCACTCAGGTGGGAACACCGCTAGTTGCAACTGGAAAAAGTGGAGGTAAAACAGAATGAAGGCAGCTGGAAGTCTGAGAATTTTTAAGACTGGATTTTTGGCCATGAATGTACATTATTCTTCAAGACAAAGAAAGAATGACTCTAACGGTGACTTTAACATCATCAGGAATGCATCTTGTTTCCACAGACAGTCATGACCTTGGTTTAAACAGGCAGGTGGTTTCCTGGAGCCGTAGGGTCAAGGCCATCCAAAGGTGTGTGGGGCCTGATTTCCCCAAGCAGAGACCTGGGGAGAAGACTTCTGTCTTAATGGGTCCTGAAGATACAGCCTCCAGCCAAAGAGGATTATTTCTGAACCTTGAGACCTCATGGAGTCTGCCTTGCTAAATTTTGGACCTACTGCAGAACTGTCACTCTTTCTGCCTTTTGCAATGAGAGTGTCTATCCTTTGCCTATTGTACCACTAGACTTACTACGTTTTGGAAGCTCGTAACTTGTTTGGCTTCACAGGTTCATAGCTAGAAAAAGATTTTGCCTCAGGATTAATTCTACCTTGAGTATCACCTACCTAATTTTCTTTTGTTTTTTGAAACAGGAACTCTGTAATTCAAGCTGCCAGGAACTTTGCAGCCCATAATGGCCTTAAACTGAGGTGATTTTCCTACCTCAGCATTCCGAGTGCTGGGATTACAGGTGTGCACCACTTGCCTGGCTTTGCCTACCTCATTTTGATAATATCGTGATGAAACTTTGGAGTTAATGCAGGAATGAATAAAGTCTGTTGGGATAAAATTAATGTATTTTGTGTGCGATAAGGATGTGAATTTGGTGGAGCCAGGTGCAGAATTATAGATTGAATCTATTTTTCCAAAAATTCATCTGTTAAGCCCTCACCTCAGTGTGATACTTGGACACAGAGCTTCTGAAGGTAATCACGCCATTAGGGTAAAGCCCTCATCAATAAGACCCGTGTCATTATAAAAAGAAACGCAAGGAAGTCGATCTCTGTCTTATGTGAAGATACAGCAGAAAAGCATTCATCTCTAAACCAAAAAGAGGGCCGGGGATTTAGCTCAGCGGCATAAGCGCCTACCTGGCAAGTGTGAGGTCGTGAGTTCGATCCCCGGTACTACAAAAAAAAAAAAAAAAAAAAAAAAGAGAGGCCTCATAAGAATGGAATTGTGGGGCTGGGGATTTAGCTCAGTGGTGTAAGTGTCTACCTGGCATGTGCAAGGTTGTTTGAGTTCAATCCCCAGTACCAAAAAAAAGTCAGAGCCATAAAGTTCTGCTTTGAAGCTCGACCTTTTCAAAAACAAAACAAATCTAAGAAAGCACTGGGGATTTAATTCAGTGGCTCAAGCACTTACCTGGTAAGCACAAGGTCATGAGTTCGATCCCTGTACAAAACAACAACAACAAAAAAACCCAAAGAATGGAATTGGTGGATACCTTGATCTTGGATCTCCCAGTCTCCAAAATGAAAAGTAAATTAATATTATGTAAGCCACCCAGTTAGGGGATTTTGTTATAGCAGCCCAAGCTAAGATAGGACTTCAAAAGAAGTTAATTTCATAAATATATCTAATATTTAAGGTGGACATTGAGTTATTAGTTCCATGAGCAGTTACATTTGTCTATGAAGTGTGACATCCTAGACACCTGCAGAGCATTATTTTATAGTGCTTCTTTCCTATAGATCTGCTACTGTTTGAGAACTCTGAAGTGAAAACTAATACATGTAATTCAGGTAATAAAGTTTGGTTTCTCAATTTTATTGAACTTATTCCTCCTCAACCTTACAGTAAAAGAATCAGACTTCACTCAGTATAGATGTAACTTGTATAAAGTTCACAACTTTGAAAGCAAGATGTACAGAGTTTATGTCTTAGAGGAAAAAAAACCTGTTGTCACTTAGAATTTGGTAATTATTTAATGCCATCGCTTTTTATTAAGTAGTATTCTTCCACCGGAATACTTCCTGTGTTGTCTGCTGCCCCTGAATCCCATCTCTTCTCATGTCACATTGCAGTGCTATGCTTCACATGTTCTTTTTAATGGAAAAAACTCTGAGGACATCTCTTCTTTCTGAGTAAAGATGACTGTAGGTGAAGTACATACCTACGGTGGAGGAAAAAAAGTGGCAAATAGAAAAGTTGATTATGTCAATCTTTGGAAATAGCCATGATTTCATAACATAGAGTGCTGCCTGAATTCCAAGGACAAGAAACGAGGGAGCTTGAAGAAGGAATGCTTAATGTAGTATCCAGATTTTATGCAGGAGGAGAGGTAAATTAAACTCTCCTCTTACTACTTTTAACACACAAAATGTTTTTCAGGCTAGCTCTCCTCACTACCTCTGTAGTGTTACCTTAGTCTGCTCTCTATGTAGGTTGTTCTTTTATATCAGATAACTATTACATCCTAGAGATAATTGTGTTGAGGCTTTATGAATGTTAGAGCTGAGGACATTTAATAATGGAAACATTTTTCCCAATTTCCTGCAAAACTAATTAATCAAAAAATGTTGTTAGCAGTTTTACTCTTTAAGGTTTTTTGTAAATATTTTATTCTTTTTTTAAAATGTTAGCATATTAATTGCACATATTAATTGGATTCAGTGTATTCTCTCCATACATGCATACAATGTGCCCTGATCATACGCAATCACCCTCCCTCGTACCCACTGTCATTCTTCCAAGGCCTAGGAATCATTATTCTACTTTCATGTCAGCTCTTTGTTTGCACATATGAGACATATGTGATAGTTTTCTGAGTTTGGCTTACTTCACCCAACATGAGGTCCCTCAGCTGCCTCCATTTTTCTGCAATTGTCAGAATTTTATTTTTCTTAACTTTCATTTGTCTTGATGGCTGAATAATAACCCATTGTTATGGAATTGGCTGATACCTGATATGGATATAGAAAACACCATATTTTCTGTATCCATTCATCTGTTGGTGAACACCTAGACTGATTCCTTATCTTAGCTGTTGGGGTAGTGCCACAATAAAGATAAACATGCAGGGGGCTGGGGATTTAGCTCAGCCGCATAAGCGCCTGCCTTGCAAGCAGGCAGTCATGAGTTCCATCCCCGGTACTGATAAAAAGGAAAAAGACAAAAAAAAAAAAAAAAAAAAAAAAAGATAGACATGCAGGTTATCTCTTTTGTGTGTTTCATTTCTCTTAAATAAATAGGAGTGGAAATACAGGGATTTTTTAGGTACTTCCATACTGTTCCCAGTAGTGGGCTATGCAAATTTATATTCCCACCAATAGTGCATAAGAGTCTTTCTCCACACTCTTGTAAGCATGTTTTGTTACCCGTTTTTCTATAACAGCCCTTCTAAGGGTGTGATGGTGTCTTACTGTAGTCTTGCTTTGCAGTTCACTGACCAGTAGTGATACTGAAATTTGCTCATATGTTTATTGGCAGTTTGTATTTCTTCAGTGTATGTGCTCATTTTTAATTGGGTTATTTACTTTAAATAAGTTTCTTTAGTTCTTTATATATTTTGAATATTCTGTTAGATGAACAGCTGAAAAATACATTCTCTCATTCTGTAGGTTGTCTCTTTATTGTTTCTTTTGCTATGCAGTTTTTTAGTTTAATCCCATTGGTCAATTCTGCTTTTTTGTGTTTTTGAAAAATCTTTAGCCAGACCAATACTGTGTATTGCATTGTTTCCTCCATGTTTTTTAAGTAGTAGTTTCAGACCTTTGATGTTATTTTGAGTTTATTTTTGTACAGGGTAAGAATAGAAGTCAGGTTTCAGTCTTCTGTGATATCCAGTTTGACCAGCACCATGTGGTGAAGAGATAGTCCCTTTTCTGATATATCTTTTTTGGCAACTTTGTCAAAAATCAGTTGGCTGTAGATTCATGGGTTAATTTCTGGTTTCTGCATTCTGTTGTATTCCTCTCTGTGTCTGTTTTTATGCTAATACCATACTATTTTGGCTATTTTGCATCTTTTTGCTTCCATATAAATTTTAAGATTGCTTTTTTCTAGTTCCATAAAGCATGTCAATGGCAATTTGATAGGGATTGTATTGAATCTGTAAATCAGTCTAATTAATATGACTTTAACAATTTTAATTCTTTCAATTCATGAGCATGAAAGGATCTTTTACTGTCTTAAAGTTCTTTCATTAGTACTTTATAATTTTCAATGAAGAAGTCTTTCATTCCCTTATTTACAGGTACTGTGTGTGTAGTGTAAATGGGATTTGTCTTTCTTCCTTTCTCAACAAATTCATTATTGGTGCCTAGAAAAATTACTTGATTTTTGAATGCTGATTTTGTACCTGCTACTTTACTGAATTAGTTTATTAACCCTCAATGACTTTTCATGGAGTCTTTTTTCAGTATAGAGAATCTTATCATCTGCAAACAGGCATCATGAGTTCCTTCCATCCTGTTTTTATGCTTTTGACTTCTTTCTCTTGCCTAACTGGTCTAGCTAAAACTTATAGTAATATACTGAATTTAAAAAATGGGAGTGAACACCTTTGATGTGTTCTTAGAGGAAATGCTTTTAGTTTATCCTTCATTATGATACTGGTTATTGGCTTGTTATATATAGCTTTTTCCTTGTTATATAATCATTTTATACCTAATTTGCTCAGAATTCTCACAAAAAGATTTTGATTTTTCTATATCTGTTAATATAATCGTGTGGTTTTTAGCCTTCATTCTATTTGTATGAATATTCTGTGTTTATTGATTTGCATATCTTGAAGCATCCTGGCATCTCTGGAATGAAACCAACTTGATCGTGGTATATGATCTTTTTGATGTGCTACTGAATTTTATATATAGCTACTTCTTGAGGTTATTTTCTTTTGCACCTATGTCCATCCAGGATACTGGTCTGTAGTTTTCTTTTATTGTCATGTACTTCTCAGGTCTTGGTAACAGGGTAATCCTGGCCTCTGGACTCATGAAACGAATTTATAAAGCTACCCTTCCTTCCAATGCAATAGAATAATTTGAGAAGAACTGACATTACTTCTTTAAAAGTTAGATTAAATTCATCAATGAGGCCATCAAGTTCTGTGCTTTTCTTTGTTGGGATACTTGTTATTACTGATCCATTCTCTGTTTTGTGCTAGTCAAGTCAATATACTCTTGATTGAATTTTGGTAAGTCACATGTCCAGAAATGTGTCCATTTCTTGCAGATTTTTTTATTTGTTAGTGTATGGTTTCTCAAAATAATCCCTGTTGATCTTTTGTATCTCTGTTGTAGTTTTTTTTTTTTTTCTTCTTCTTCTTCTTTCATCTCTTGTTTTGGAGCTCTTTTTTCTTGGTCTACTTAAAAGTTTGTCAGTTTTTTTTGAAGAACTACCTTTTACTTCATTTATCTTTTGTATTTTTAAATCTATTTCACTTATTTCTGCTCTGACTTTTATTATTTCTTTCCATCAACTAACGTTGAGTGTAGTTTTTTCTTGCTTTTTGAAGTCCTTGAAATGTACCGTTAGACTATTTATATGAAGCCTATTTTTTTATGCACATAATCATTGCTACAAACTTCTTAGTGTTGATTTTGCTGCACCCCACAAATTTTCTTGTGGTTTTTTCCCATTTGTTGTTAAGAAATTTAATTTCTCTTCTGACTTTAATGGCTCACTCTTTGTTTGAAAGGGTTTGTCCAGTGTCCAGGTACTTCAGACATTTTATATTTTCTCTTTTCATCCTTTTGTGATCAGAAGACAAACAATATGATTTAAAGTTTTTAAATTTTAAGTTCTGTTTTATGACATAGTTCAGTGTTTTATGACCAGTTCAGTTTTAGAGGTTTCATTGATACAAACAGACTACAGTGGTGTGTATGCCATAGGTTTACCAACACTGCCCTAGTTATATGGTCTGTTCTAGATAATGTTCCATGTTCCAGTGAAAACAATGACAATCTACAGCTGTTATACAGAATATTCTGTGTATATTCTTTAGCTCCGATGTTTCTTTGCTGATTGGATGAGCTGACCATCTAGAGTAGGGTATTGAAGTCCCACAGTATTACTATGTTGGAATCAATACTTTAGTTCCAATAGTGTTTGTTTTATAAAATTAAGCACTCTTTTATTTGTTGTAATTAGATTTCCAGTTATCATATCTTGAGTAATTGATCCTTTGATCTTTGTAAAATGAATTTGTCTCTACAGTGTTTTTCTTAAAACGTATTTTAAGCATAATTAATTCTATTCACTTTATCCATTTTATTGGATATATAATTTTCTAGCTTCACTTTGAACATGCATTTTTACTGGCAAAGTGAGTTTCTTGTAAATAACCTATTATTAGGCCTTAGTTTTATTAATCCATTCAACCAGTCAGTATCTTTTAATTGGAGAATTTAGTCCATTTACATTTATGGTCCTTAATGTATGGACTTGTGTCTGTTATTCTGATTTTCTTCCAGTATCCTTTTCTTCTCTTATTCATCTTTGTGATTTAATGGTCTATTGTATTCATTATGTTTGGTTCTTTCCTTTTTCTGTTTTGTCTATGGAATCTTTTAGTGGGACTTACACTTTCAGATGCTATCATGATGTAGTCTTCCTTCCATTTCTGGATGTAGGACTTCCTTATGCGTTTTTGTTTGTTTGTTTGTTTTTACTTTTTGAAATGCCTGTCTGCTAGTCATGAATTCCCTGAATGCTTGCTTATCTTGAAAAGTCTATTTCTCCTTTATTTCTGAAGGAGATCCTTGGAACAGTAATCTTGATTGTCAGTTTTTTAAAGAACTTAAAATACATATCATTCCTTCCTGGTCTATAGGGGTTCTGTTAAGAAACCTGCTATTAGTCTAAAGAATTTGGACTTGGCACTTTTCTCTTGCATATTTTAAAATTACTCCTGAGTACTATACTTTGAAAACATGAGTTGATATTCATGGTGAAGCTCTTTTCTGGTCATGTCTATGTGGAGTTTTATGCGCCTTCTATATTACGGTGTCTCTGTCTTTCCAAAGATTAGAGGATTTTCTGCTATTATTTTAATGAGTAGGTTGTCTGTGATTTTGTTTGTTTGTTTGTTTTTTAGTACATTTCTACTGCATGCAGTTTACACTCATCTTAGTACTGGGCGCGCGCGCGCACACACACACATACAAACACACACACACACACACATATATATATATATATATATATATATATATATATATATATATATGTTTTCTTGTTTTCTTAAGCCTTTTCCCCTTTGCTCCTAACTCCATCCTCCTCTAAATCCCTTTTCCCCATTTTCTTTTTAATATTAATCTTATGTTTATGACATATAATGTTTACATCCATTGAGAATTAGGTTCCTGTACATGGCATGTCTTTTAGCTTTCAGCTCCTTCCCTTTAGAAACAGTAAATTCCTTCCTTACAAACATGAGACTTTCACACAGATATGAACCAATTTCACATTGCAAACATTCATAGATGGGAACAGATCATGGAAGTAGCTCATGTGTCTCCCTGACTTTGTCACAGTTGTGCTGCTCTGTGAGTACTGTACCGTGTGTTGGTGTGCATCAGTACGGTGCTCAGTCAGAGCCAAGGATGTCTGGAATCAAGAGGAAAAGCAGTGAATTGGAGGGGACTGCTAGGGAGCTCAAAGCAATGAACACTGTGTATGTGTCAAAGGTGTGTAAGACTCACTTTGTTGGACTTCTCCCTGAATGGAAACCATTACAAATTGGGGACTTACTGTATTCCAATGATATAGACATTTATTTAATGGCATCTCAAAACTCTTGAGTATTCTCTTCTTTTTTCTGCCTCAATGGAATATGTCAAAAGATTTATCTTCAAGCTCAGATATTCTTTCTTCAGATATTCCTTTATATAGGGCAGGAGTGCAACCAGGAATTCATCCCCAGGCCTGTTAGTGCCAGGCACTTGTGCACAGCACTGAGTGTAGCGGGGTGGCAGGAACCACATGGGTGAGTGACTGTCTTTATCCCTGGTGTCAGAGCAGAGCTCCCCAACTCCAGGTTCTTGAGAGTGGTGCTCTGTGTTCTCTTTGTTTCACCTGCCTCCTATCATGCAGGATATACAGTTGGTCTTACTCACTCATTCTCCTGGGCCAGATTTGGTTGCTAAGGCAGCTACATACTGGCCAGTGCAGTGGGATGTCTGCAGAGCCTGAGAGGTTGAACAAGGAAGCCCTAACATCCACAGCTGTCCAAATTCAGACATGCCTCTTTCCAAGATCTCTCCTGGCTTTGGCACCCTGGAGTTTTGCTAGGGATTATCGGAAATCCTTTTCAAAAAAGTGCTAATGTGCAGATTTTAGCATATTAAGCTGGAAACCTGTGAGTGTTGTGAAACTTTCCAGTAGCTAGGATTGCCAGTATGTGCACTGATAAGAGTTTGCTGGAACCCTCTCATTCTTATTCTTACAGAGGGGAGACTCTCCTTCCCCAGGTTGTGAAGCCAGGTCAGTGGGTACTAGGCTATTTGTTGCTCTTACTAGGCTATAGTTCCAAGTCTGAATGGTAAGAGTTTCTAGTTTCTCTCCAACTGCTTTCCAGTGTTCTCCCATGACCACTCACATCAAAATGCAGCTGTTCACCTGTTGCTTTGGTTTTTCATTGTTGCTGGTGAGTGCTGGGTGCCTCTGTTCAGCCTCTTGAAATCCCACCCAACTGCAAAGTTTTGTTCCATAAATTTTTCTTGAATCTTAGCACCTACTCCCATTTGCTTGCTAGGAAGAACTAAAGTGTAAGGCCAAACAGGAAAGAATAGATATAAATGGGAAAATTAGAAATATCCAGTCCTGCTCAGTTTGACATGTACTCCGTAGATATTAGTGCTTATGGTCAAAACTTCTATATTTCATTCCACAGTTATATTTTCTAGTAGTAAAACCATTGCCGTTCATACAGTGCAACAGTGATCTATTTGGTCTTGCAATGTCTTGCTCAAAGCATTATAACTTCTAAAACCTTTAACAGCACAATCTAGTTCATCATGTTAGGCTTCCTCTTTGGTCTCTTTCATGTTTACAACTCGTTTATTAAAGCAGATGGCAGCATAAACTAGAAAGAACAGGAAGAGTGGAAAAATAAAACAACCACGTACCTATAAAGAGCATCATGAGATACAGCTTCAGCACATATGGAAAGTAGATGGCTACATCAAAGGGCAGCTTGGTGGAGAAAGTGCCAAATGATTCAAAATAAGGCAGCGATTGGTAGATGGTGAATGCTGTTTAAAGAAAAAAAATACAAAAGTTTCCTTCCTTGTTAAGGGGATGCGTGTATATGTCTCCATAGTTGCAGTATATTTTGAATTTGACAATGACAGTTTTTTTGATGATTGCTAATGTTGCAGTTTGTTATAGAAATAGAAACAAGATTAATTTGGCAAGGCAGCTATAGCAGTGTGACTTTCCAAATTTTTACATTGTATATTTTATGTTGTACTTATGTGGCAAGACCATAGTATTTCTTAAAAGGGTAATTCAGAATACATATGTCACCCTTGCCACAAATAGCAGTGATAAGCAAATGAATTTGGAAAATGCTGCATTTATTTTTACTTTGGAGCAGCACAACACACACTGAACACTGAAGTTGTGAGTCTGAGAATCAAATTAAGATTCTGCAATAAAAAACTGGTATTGCCTAACTTTTTCTCAGTACTGGAGACTGAACAAAAAGATCTTCACGCTGAACTAGATCCCCAGTCATTTTTGAGTCATGTCTCATGCAGGCAGCATGTCAACTTGCAATCCTCCTTTCTCAGACACCCAGAGTCCTAGAATTGCAAGCTTGTACCACCGAATCTGGCTCACCCAACATTTTATCAGTGTAACTGGTCTTGGAATATCATCATCTTCCTCCATAGGCCTCAGTAGTATTTAAGAAATATGCTAAGGAATTCAGATAGAAATGCTGGCCAAAAATATTTTGAAAGAGGAAGCTGGTATCAGATAGAAATGGAGGTTGTGCAGATTTTTCACATTCCATGGGATAAGGTGATAGTGTACTGTGTTATGTAAGATGTTATCATTATGGTAAGTTGGGTGAAGAGTACATGGCAATTTTGTACAAGCATGTGAACCTAAACTTATGTCAAAATAAAATATTTTTTAAAAGAAAGATAGGAAATAAAAGCAGTCAGGCACAAGCAGCAATGGTACAGGACCTGCAACTGATACAAATTTGCCATCTAAGATTTATGTTAAGTCTCTAACACTTCATCATATAATTGCTTAGCTGTGTTACTTGTATGGGAAGATTACAGATATTTAAAAATTAACTTTATTAATATTTTTAAACTAGTTATTAACAGATAAAGTTTTCTTAAATGCATCTTTTATATTGCAGTACACTTGGAAATATATAGAAACATAAAGATAAAATTACAGACTTAAAAATTCTACAACCCTAAATTAATCATTGATATTAAACATTATTGATGTTTCTAGATTTTTCTGCACAAAATGTTACCTTGCAATTATAAGTTTATAAATCTACTAAAAGAATATGGATTGTATGGCAGTTATGTAAGAACATGGCTTTCCTAGAAAAAGGTAGGCCTAGAATTCACAAGAATGGAATGATTTCCTATGCATTCATTTGTTCATTGCTTATTTTTAAGAAGGGATTAGTCATAGTTTTACCCATTTATGTAATCTTTTTAAATTTTATTTTTAAATTTTTATTAATTCTACTTGACAAATTATAGCTGTACTTTTAAGTGACAAATCATAGAATGCATGTTTAAAATGCAAAATGATGAAGTCAAGCTAACCTTCCTATCATTTCATTTACTTTGGGTAGGAAGACATTTGAAGTTTACACTGTTTTGAAATACACATTTACTAAGAACAGCTATCCTACTGTGAAATCTCAAAAATGCATTCTTCATATTGTAAACTTTATATCCTTTGACCATTATTCCACCATTCTCTTTTTATGTCCTTTATAGTAATTTCATGTAACAAAGGAATGCACTTCATGTTCAATAAGTAAAATATTTCATTCTGTTACTGCATGCTTGTAGTAAACAGTGTTTACATTCCTTGGGAGAACTGACATACGTATACAACACATTTTAATTCCTTTTTCCTTTAAAAAAAATAGACAATCAGCTTTCGGGGGTTTTCTAGATTATCTGCTGAATTCTTATGAAAGTATACTCTATAAAGTTTTCCTTTTGGGAAAAAAATTTTAAATTCTTTCTAATATGATTAATTATAACCAAGCTTACCTTCTTTGCTCACCAATAGATACAAAATGTGTTTTATGTTTTCCTTTAGTTAACCTAACATGCTTATTATTTTATACTTTTCATTTTCAAAAACTTTAATCATGACTTCCCGAAAGCTCCTAACAATCTGTCAAATCAGTTATAGAAAGAAGCAGATACAAGCTCCAAATATACTCAAACTCTTTTCAAATTGCTGATTTTAATTATTTGATTTCAATTTCAGGTTTATATTTAATATATGTAATTAGCCTACTTTGTGCTGCAGCCAGTAGGTCATCTGTGTTGGTTGAGTAGGTACACTAATGCATAAGAGAAAGGAAGAAAGCAAAGAAACAAGTCTATCCCTGTACCTTCATGCATCTTAAAAATTCTCTAGTCAGAAAACATTCTCTAGTCAGAAAATCATGCAGATACCTAGTTACAACTGAGATAGAACCCACAGAAGACCAGTTCATGACGCTGTTCCAAGGGAATTACCTTGACAAGTCAAGGAATACTTTCCTCCAAAAGTGCCATGGGAGATGATAAGTGGAAAAGAGAGTCTAGCCAAACTAAACTGAAATCCTGTGGGTGTTATTGTTGGTACACTGAGTCAACTTGAGAAGTCTAGAAGCTTAACTAAGTGACTCAGCAGCTCTCCATCCTGGGGCGTCGAGGACACGCCATTACCACTTCAGGATGTTGTTTATTGTGTCAATTGGAGTAAGTCAGAAGTTTAACTAAGTGTTACAGCAGAGGGCCAGGGTCCTTAGTTTGTAAACCTCTTCAGCCTGTGCAGGAGGAGGGCTGGAAGATGGTGTGAGTGCTACTCCTATCCAAAGGGCACAGCCAGCTTACCACGTAAGGAAGAAGAGGCTTGCTCCCCCTGCACCTTTTTTGTTCTTGTTGCTTTGCTGTCTTCTGCTACCTTGAAGTGTTGCCCCTGTGCCATGACATCCTGCTTTGGAGCCAGCTGATCATGGTCTGAAATCTCCTTTGACTGTGAGCTAAATAAACCTTTTCTTCCTTAACTTTGAGTTTTAGGTATTTTGTCCCAGCAATGAAAGAAAAGTAACCAACACAATGTATTAAACATAAAAGATCATAGCATTTCTAAATGCTTAATGCCTCTTTGGCCAGTAACAGACTCAGGTTAAATACGTTATCTCGGGGCTGGGGATTTAGCTCAGCGGCATAAGCACCTGCCTTGTAAAGCAGGCAGTCGTGAGTTCAATCCCCGGTACTGATAAAAAGGATAAATAAATAAATAAATAAATAGGTTATCTCAAGTGCATAGACAACAAAGGTAAAGCTCGAACTCAAATGTCTTTATTTTTCATCCAGTGCTTTGTCCATGGTACAGTGCTACTTCCCTCTCCAGCTTTGCCTCTGAAGGTAGCAAGGGAAATATGCCAAGAAAGGTACATTGAGTAATACCAGTTTAATCATCGAAAATTAGGGAGCTGTTACCACTGGCTTTGGTCAGTCAGCAATACAGGTCTTTTCTTACCTTCAGCGAGAACGCACAGGGGATAAATGGGCATCCACAGTGTTTGACTGAGCCATGTCAAGATGGCATAGGACGTTCCTATGACTGCCAGCATGCTGTATGTGTACCTGAAAGGAAAGAAGGAGCTTAGGAGCATCATTTGCTGCTGATGTCTGGGAAATAACAGGAAAATACCTTACTACATAAATACAGGGATAAAACTGGAATTGTGCAACTATATACTTGTATTCCCTGTAATTTAAGGAAGAAAGGTTTAAAAAATGGTGGTGGGGACCGCTGTCACTCTGGCTTATCTTGTAGGATGGATCATAGGTAATTATAGGGTTGAATACAGCAAAAATGTAACTATTACCCCCTCACAAGAAATTACAGTTACAAGTTTCCTTGATTAGTGACTTCAATTTTATTAAAAAGCCAAACCAATCTTATGCAGCAAGTAAGCAGATAGGTATTTATTTGTTTGTTTGTTTTTAAGACACAAATGTTTATCAATATTTCAAGATTTTCAATATTAAAATCTGACTTCTGTTTGGCATCCCTCAGTATCTTTTGTTGTTCCAACTTACATGATCAATTATAAGAGCTGGTTCTGAAGCTGGTTTGGGATAAAGTAGGCAGCTTTAAACTGACCACTGTAAAGTAGTAGACAAAGCAGTATGCAAATTTGTATTTATTTGAATAGAATAGGCTTCAACATCCATCAGAATGACTTAGATGTCTTGTTAGAGCACAAGTTGCTGGGTTATAACCCCCCCACCCCCACTTCCCTGAGTTTCTGATAATGTAGGTTTGGGGTAGAACTTGAAAATGCGTATTAGTAACAAGTTTCAAGTGAGGTTGATGACTTCAATCCAGGGACCACACTGTAAAAATCACTAGTATAGACAAATATACATGGCAAGACAGAACCAACCAAAAAGAACCTTGAAAACATGACCAGAGAAAACTTAACCTTTCCCATCTCCAGACCCAGCTGCTTAGAGATAATGAGTAATTCTAGTTTCCTATGGACCCTTCTAGAAATACTTTTTCATATGCCTAGGTATGTGCATATTTACTACTATACATATACGTATACTCGTGGTCCACACCCTCATTAACATTGCATGTTATCACACTTTTTTAATCTGAAAAATAGCATCTTACTATCTTTTTTCTCTTACTAGAAACAAGAGTGGATAGGGATCTTCTCATATTAAGATCCATTCTGAAGGAAATCTAGTTTATATATTTTTTCCTTTGTTGCTTGTGGTTTTTGTGTCATATCAAACAATATATTTGCCAAAGCTGCAGTCATAAAGATTCAGCTGTGTGTTTTCTTCTAAGTGTTTAATTTTTTATTGTACAGATTAATGGAAATTACTGTGTATTCCCATGTATGCAGCCACTGTGACTTGATTATGTCCATACACCCTCATAGCTGTGGTAAAGATCTACTGTATGTGGATATCCAGTTCATCTCATGGCACTCACTGACAAGATTCTTTCCCTATTGAGTGCTCTTAGCACCTTTGTCAAAACTTAATTGACCAAAAATGAGAGTTTATTTGTAGACTGTCAAGTGTAATCCCATGATTGTTCCATATGCCAGTACCACACTCATGGTTGTTGTTACTTTGTAGTCAATTTTAAAATTGGGAAGTGTGAGTTCTGCAGCTATGTTCTTTTCCAAGATTGTTTTGGCTATGCCTAGGTTCCTTGTGTTTCCCTATGAATTTTAGGATCAGTTTCTTAATTTCTGCAGAGAAGCCAGCTGGAATTTTAGAGGGACTGCATTGAATCTACACACCATTTTGGGAGTTTTGGATCTTAACATTAAGTCTTCAACCAATGTGGTATATTTCCACTTACTAAGATTTTAAATTTTTCAAAGTTTTATAATTTTCCTTATATTTTGCACATTTTTGTTAAATTCATTTTTAAGTACTACTTTATTCTCTTTGCTGTTATTTTAAACAAAAATTCCTTAAATTTCATTTTAAGAAAGTTCATTGCAAGTGTAGAAATAAATTGATTTTTGTATTGATCTTATATTCTATAAACTTGTGTGTCCCTTATGGGTTTTTTTTCCTGTATTTGGCATATCATCTTCCAGTAGAGATAATTTTACTTCTTTTTTCCCAATCTGTCTGTAAGATGTTCTATTTCACTGATAATTGCCATAGCTGGAGCTTCCAATACAATGCTGACTAGAGGAGGAAAGAGTGTACATCTTCCTGTTGCTTCTGGTCATCACAGTTAACTATGATGTTAGCAGTCAACTTTTCACAAGTACCTTTTGCAAGTCAACTCATTCATTAAAGAATTGCCCAAGGAGAGATTAGGTGCACTCATTTTATAGAGGTGGAAAAAATTAAAATTTCAAACCAGAAGCCCAAAAAAATTCATTCTAAGACATAAGGGAAGTAAAAGATGTGCACACAAAATCTTGTACATGTATGTTCACTACAGGGAATGGGAAGTAACTACTACTGGGTACGGAGTTGCTTTTGGGGTAATAAAAATGTTCTCAGGTTAGATAGTGGGTATGGTTGCACATCTCTTTGAATATAATAAAGCCCACATGTTTATCTTTTAAAAGGTGAATTTTATGGTATTTGAATTATATCTCAATATGGCTGTTAGAAAAATACAAGGTAAGTGTTTTGCCTGGGACATTTAGCAAATAATTTCATCTTGAGGTGTTTTACCTGTGTATCCAAGAGTCATCCTATGATAGCTTGCTACCAGTTTTGATGCAAAAGTTCTTTTGTTCTCTGCTGGGTCAGACTAATTCAGTTCTGAGAGTCAAGCATACTCATATTCCAACAAATTAAAAGACTGTGAGGCTCCAACATCGTATTAGTAGTGAGTCATAGGCTACAAAGCCCATAAAGTTTGCTCTTAGTAGGAACAGGGCCATAACTAGTGTAGGTACCTGCCTGCAAGTGCATGGTCCTCAGTTTAATTCCCAGTACCAAAAACAAAGTTTGCACTTAGTCTACAAAACTACTTGAAAAATGAGAAATAATTTACTAATGATATATACAATGAAGTATAGTCATTTTAATCCAGCTAAATATTTTATTCATTTCTCTTGGCATTCTACCCATTATTTAGACATTTTAATCCAGCCATTACTAATATAATACATAATTAATATAAAATCTTGGAGGGGTTGGAGGAAGGTATTGGTTTTTTGAGACAAGTTCACATTCTGTAGTGCAGGATGGCCTTTAACTCACTTATGTAGCCCAGGTTGGCCTCAAATTCATGGCAGTTCTCCTGCCTCAGCCTCCCAAGTACTGGGATTTACAGGCATGCACCACCATACCTGGCAAAATCTTGGACTCTTGTGACCTATTCACATATAGCACTTTCATGTGGGGGTGACAGGTCATTTTAGGAGCTAAAGTACAAATTAGGACACTATCCCAAAGAGTGATGCAGTTCACCAAGCAAAGGGCTTAAAGAGCACCTCTCACTGTAAAGATTTAGAATTTAGAGGAAACTAAAGACTGTCTAGGGCCACAGTTCCTAGAGTACCACGAAAGCACTTGAACCATTTTGGACCCACTGTAATTACATACAAAAAGATGTGAAAGTGCATATTTTTGTTCCAGACAGACAAGGTCCTATGTTTAAAATATTCTTGAATCCATAAAAATCAACTTAATAAGGTCTGACAGTGACATAATAAAAGTCCTGCTTGCTTATGGAAGCAGTGTGTACAGAGCAGTCATAAGAAGTGCCTTTCCTTAGCACACAACATGAGGCTTGCTCCGGGTTGGTGCTGCGCCAAGCCTTCTGCTGAAAACCTGCAGGTGCTGATTTGTCTTGTAATACCATGATAGGCTTTTATTATTTTGACATGCCCATTCTGGAAAGCACTAAAAAGCATTTTCATATCAAGATAAAATAGTTCTTCTGTCTGATTCAGAGTAACCAAATACAAGGAGCTATTACTGTTTTCAGTGTAGAAAGCACTTTGGCCTCCTCTTAAGAAATTAGTTTGCCTTCTTACCTAACCATATCCAGTAGATTCCAAAAGATGAATAAAACACACACCACATATTTTTCTTGGATTTCCTCTTGACTGGTGATCACCACAAAAAGGATGATTATTCTTTCTGTGAGCTAACAAATGAACAGCAGAGTCAAGAATTAGGATCATCTGTTAAGCCATGTAAGTAATTTTCTAATTTTTAAAACCAGAGCATCTTTTAAAAGTATGCTTTAGCTGGAGCTATGTATACTAAATTATTAACAATGATTGTCTCTGAGAGAGCTGGGTTATGGATAAATTTTATTTCTTCCTTTCTGTTTTTCTCTACTTTCCAAAGTACATACAATGAATGAAAATATCTCTGAATTAAGATACTTCCTCTCCCCTTGCCACATGCACATGTGTTTCTGTTAACTTTGGCAAGCTTTTATTCAGCTTTCACTGTGCATTAGATTCTGTAATGAAAACATGCTCCTTGCTCCACAGAGAGCGGCAATGGCAGAGAAAGTAACTATACACAGTACGTGGCACACATGGGACCGCAGGTGAGTGTCATATTTGTTGCCCGAGCAAAGAAGGCTATGGATTAGTTGGGTCCTGAAAAACGGATAGGAGTTTGCAGTTGGGGTGTGAGAAAGGCCGTCCTCGGAGTAGCAAGAGCATAGGCAGTGGTCTGACCGCACAGAGGCTTGAGAGATGGGAGGCCAGAGAAGAGAAGAAAAAGACAAAAGTGACAGTGTGTTGGGGGTGAGCTGGGAAGGTGACAAGCTAAGAAATTTAGGTTTCATCAGATAGAGAAGCCATTATAGGATTTCTTTCAGTGGTGTAATATAATCTCAAGCTTCATACACTAATAAAAAATGAAAAAAAATGTTTAACATATTCTAAGAATGTATATTACATATTCCAAGTCAGTAAGCATTTACAAATCACTGAAAATTCACACATTTTTGGTTTACCTCCAATTATTAGGCTCAATAAAATACAGTCCCCTCTCCCCACTGTAAACTGTAAAACTTACATTAATGTCCTGTATATTCTATATTTTTGTATGTTTTATAGAACATTTTGCTTTGCTCCCAGTGGACAAAAGAAAATATATATGAGATTAAAGAAAAATATAAAGGGGTTGCTTTATATTTTTCAGTAGCTGTCTTTATTTTAAAAGCTGATTAAGGGGAAAAAACACTGGGACAATCTGTCAGAATCATAGGCTGTTTGTATAGAAAAATCCAAGATTTGCCAACAGCCACATGATCAGAAGTTCACATGTGCAAGCTTTATCAGCATATTTATGACCACAGAGGTGAGTCAAGAAGACCCCTGCTTAGTAGCTAAGGGGAACTAAAGTATGATTCAAACTTTAGTCAGTCTGTAGAAGCCATCTACATAGAAGTTTTTCTTTGCTCAGTCTTTCTAATGTAATACCCTAGTTTATTAATTCAACACCTTATATAATGAATTCTGCAGAATTACAAGTATAATTACTAAATGATCAACTTCACTGTCATGATGCCTGGCAGCCTTTAAATGAAAAAACCTAAGCAGTAAGGAAGTAGTTACTGTCTCATCTTGCATTTTATCAGTGCTCGGTAATTAGGAAAACTTACTGGAGTTTTGTTTTGTTTTTCCTAAAACTCTCAAAAGATACACATGGATACATTTCTAATTACATTCTTTACTGAAAAAAGCTTAACTCTTACTAAGACAATATCTAGAGTCCCTTCTAAATAAAATATTCCAACATGAGCCCACTGCATCTTTTTATAAATAGGATTTGAGGATACAGAGAACTTAACAAGTGGCAGACCAGAAAATACATGTATTCTAAGTCTGATGACCTCCAGAGCTATAAAGTATCCATTGTGTCATACAGGTCTTCAGTTGAGGACAGAATAGAAAATTTCCAGAAAGGGAGACTGCACAATAAAACTCAGTGTATTGAAAAACTTAACTGAGGCCTGTGAATGTTAGCGATGGATTTTCAGTTGCGTACAAATCAGCAATTGGCAATCCCCCAAACCTAAGCACATGGACATGTGGATATATGAAGCCTCCTTCCATGTATAAATGTTGGCATAATTAGCAAACTATCTGATAGTTACTTAACTCTTATTTGCACATTAAATGTCAACACAATGAGACAATTTAGGAGATACTCCTAAGTGGATAAAAGTATTTATAGTTTACTTTCTTGCCAGGTTCTAAACATACATCATTTAATTTACTCTCCATAAAGACCCAAAGAATTATGTGGTACTGTTATTTTTCTGCCTTTATAAAAGACATACATTTTACTGAAAATGTATTAATGAAATGAAAGTAATTAAATGAAAGTTTAAATGAAATGTGATTTTCCTACAAATCTGGTATAAAAGTCTAGATGATTTGATTCTTAATCACTTGTTCTAAAACACTCCACCTTTATTGCTTTATGGTCTACTCCAGAACCTGCCATGCAGGCGACAATCTATTCTTTAAAAGACCTTCTGAAAACTTAGACCTTCTAATCAGAGCCTTCTAATTGACACAAAACAATTTTGAGAAGATATTTTAAATGTTAATTTAATTTCCATGATAACTATTATTTAGACCTTTACACTTGGGAAAACTAAGCACCTTGTCATTTTTAATAAATCCTTAAAAATATGACCACCCTAACAGAGGGTTTTGTCACGTTGCAACTCATACAGACAGAATAAATGGAATTGTAAAAATCCCATAACTTTGGAAAATAAACATGGTGATGATGTGATACCCTGAAAAGTATGATAACTGCAAAATAGGAATACTTTGCACTTTTATGTTCCATGTGGGAATCCAGAACTTAAGGTTAATGTATAAATGGCAGGTAGCATTTACAAGATATTGAAGAAGTAAGTAAAACAACACTTTGGGGAGACATGCTAGAATCTTACAATAGTTTTAATTCAAAGACTTATTTTGAGAACTTCAGAGATATATCTCTACATATTGAAAACCACCAACTACATTCCTCTGCAAGGCAAAATCATTTAAATAACACATTGTAATATATATTTATATATATTTACATGCAGAGAGAATTGTAATATATACTAATATATATATATATATTCTAATATATACTTTAATATATATGGGAGGGCACTTGACACATAGAAAGCCCTAAATAAATGTAAGATATTAAAAGAACAATTAATAATTAGTATATTTATAGGAAAACCATTTTGAACATAAAGACTACCAGTGGATAAAAGTCAAAGTCAATTTTAGCATTTGAAAATTATTCTATGAATTCCATGAATTAAGTGCAAAAAAAATACAAAAGAAGAAAAAGAAAAATCTAAAATCTTATCGATACAATGAACTGTATGTGTAATTCATTCCAGGAAGCTTCAAATTTTGAAGAATTTTACTGCTCAATACTATCGTCTGCAATTTTATCTCTAATAATAAAGTCTATTATTAAAGCAACACTTCAGAAAAATGTGTATGATTTTATGGAATATTCAGAAAACTAGGGTCTAGCAATGCAAATTTCCTTCATAGCTAAATAGAAACTGAGTTTTCTTGGAAGAGTATAAAACACCCTTTATGAATTCCTTCAACTTTGCTCTCTTTAGTTTGTGACTATGAATTTTTGGAGTGATTTTTGGTAAGTGGATCCCCATTTTCCCTTATTAGAAATAGATAGCAAATATAAAAATGGTTCATGTAATACGGTTTCATAAATGAAATTCTGTAGGTATAGTAATTTAAGGATAATTTCTAGTATTAGATTTATAGATTTAAAAAATTGTTAAACTTCTAAAATTAATTCACATGAAGCAGTTAATTTGTAATGATACAGAGGGAAGGAAATAAAATTGAATTTTAATTTCAGATACAGATTAAGTCTTTGCACTGAAAGCACTTCTCAGAGATAGAGAAAAACTATTACTCTGAGAATTTCTTCAAAGTATATCCATCTATCATCATTTTGAATATGATCTGTTCACTTTTCACTTAAAAATTTAAAATCATTGAAAGCTCTAAGAGGCTTGCCATCACTGCTGTAGTAGTGTTAAATGATATACCAGTGTTAAATGATTATTGTCTCAGTCATTGAGGTTTTTTTTCCACAATTGTAATTTTAAAATTTCATGGCTTTTCCCTTTCGTGTCAAAATAAAGATGTGAGTGTAAAAGCAATTAAAAATGCACAGGACACACTCTGACCCCCTATTCACACACCACTAGCACTTGATATGTATGATACTAATTGTTCAGCTAGCTAATCCATTTCTTCTGTCAGCTGGAATTACTTATTTGGTATTTTGGAAAACCAGTTCTCAAAGTGGCAACTCAGTTGAGGCTTAGAAATCTCTTGAAGGTACTAAGAAAATGTCACAGTGGTGCAGGTGTGGTTTTAAGCTCCTTGAAAGCAGCTGGCCAACTAGGCATCTGTCACGTTACTGTATATGCAGTCAGCTGTGATTACCAGGAGCATAGCTCAGCTGCTCTGACTACAGTTTCTTTAAAAATGTGGAAACAGGAAAACCAACAATGGTTACACAACCACAGAGTCTTGTTTTGTTATTTTAAAGCAGAGGGCTCAGAGTCATCTCATAGTGAGGGACTTGTAATTGCCTGCAGAATTCTAAAAAAGGAAGGGGGCAGAAAATGAAACTTAGGACATACATGTTTTTTGTAGCCTTTTCAATACCACTTCCATTCTGAGAACCATGGAAAAGATAAGTGAATAAAAGATAGCAGTAAAAAGCATATATAAAAGAGACCAAAAGAGGAAGCAAAACAATCACAAAAAACTAATAACCAGCATAAAAATGATAACTGTCTTCTAATGTGGTGATCCCTGACTTGTTAACCCTCCCAAGGAATCAAGACCAAAAAGCAAATGCACTCCCAAAAAGACTGCAAGCTCACTTAAAAAGTGTCAATATGTATTTGAAAATGTTATTTTACCATAAAATAGCATTAGCGAAGTTAGTCAAAAAAGTAAAAAGTCCTTAAAAGCATAGCAAACGAAAATTGACAGATTTTAGGTAAATTTGATCATATGTCCAGTGAAATAATTGCATGTGACAGAATACAACTTTCATTTAAGCAGGGTTAATTTTGTTCTTGAAAACTAGGGAGGCTGATACAATAGGCACTTTAATTTTTTCAAAGTACATCAGATGTTCAATAAATCATAAATACCAATAAATCTTATTTCCAAATTATATGTAACTTCTGGGACAGTTCTGTATCTTTTTTCTGTGAGGAAATCTGTTTCAGGAACTTCTTTCTAGGTTTTATTCAGACTACCATGGTATTACATTAACTATATTACAGTATTACAATGTTGTACACTATTGCTCAGGTTCCTGTTTTACATTTGATACACTTAAGATGTCTATATCCCAGTGAAGGCTACTTCTCTACTGTTATTTAATAAATGTTTTAAAATACCCCACAAATATTTTTAATTTTATTAATGTCGATTTCCTATTAGATCTCTTAGGATTATACTGCTATCTATATGTTTTAAGTTTTCATAGTATTTTAACTACTTCCTCTTTCTTGTAGAAAATATTTTGTGTGTGTATGTTTCCTTAATTCAGCAATGATTTTCTACTTGAAGCTTTACAAGTAAATTTCCAATCTTTTTTCAGGCTGCCTTTAAAAGAACTTTGTAGGCTAGGCTAGAGGCATTGTAAAGGGAATCACAGAAAAAATAATGGTACAAAGTATTGTATTGCTAACTAGGTACCATCAACTCTTCCTACCCATGTTTCTCAGTTACTCTATAAAGTATGTTATTTTCACATCACATGATGTGATGATTCAATGGTTCAGGTTCAGATGGTAAGATTCAGATGATTCAATGGTTTGTTTGAAGTTTATCCAACCAGAAAAAGGAAAAGTTGCAATTTGAGTCCGGGTCTGTGTGACTACCAAGTCTGCCTTAGATGTTGTACTAGATATCTTCCCTTTCCATTGTATTCGGTCAAAACTTGTGGAATGAGCAAAAAATGGCTGGGGAATATTCCAATCTTTGGATAGAGATAAAGGAAACTCTTTAAAGTGTTTGTGTTTTAATCATCTACTCTTTACCATGTATTGTGTGTTACATTTCTTCATGGCAAGAGTCAATGATTGTGGGCTGCATAATCCTACAGCAGTTTCTGGAAGACGGGGGCATCAAATTAAGTCTGAATGGCTTCAATTCTATGGCTTTCCATCATTTTATACTACCATGAGCAGTGACATATTGAGGGTGGGAAATGGCCATGAAATATCCTCCTAGGATAACATAAATGGCATGCACAGATCAATAAGCATCACCACCTCTAATGCTTCCTATTAGCTGTTCTCATTGTGCAGTGTTTGAAAATAAGGTAATTCTTCCATGTAATGAAAACCAAAAGACTGTAAATAGAACAAAGTTGAAAATTAAACATCCTATAATAGTATTAGTATTAGTAATAATAATAGGATTAAAGCCTACCTGCAAAAACCTTGGGAAAAGATGGTTTGATTCAATACCAACATATATGTGCAGCAGCTCCAAGACAGAAATGGATTGGCAAAGTCGCATGACAAGTCCAATGGCATAAAAGGTATCGATCATTGAATCTGTGTTTGGAGGATTAAAAATACATCTGTCATAAGTAAAAACTAGATCACAGTGCCCCTATGCAGCACTTTGAGTGAAAATTGAGATTGCACACATGAAAATTTTTCTAGTCTACAAAATTACGAAGAATGGAATACAAAGGAAGCACTTCATACTACAGTATGCATTAGCTGACCCTCTTCCAAAAGTAAAAGTCTTTACAGCCAAAGCTGGAGTATTACCCATGATGAGCTTCTAAAGTAGTTTCCACATGAAAGTGATCTGCAGGAGTCTAAGCCACCTCAAGAGCAAGTAGGTTGAGGGCAAACTTGTTAAAGAAGCTGCTCGGCAGTCCCAGTAAGAGCAGCCTTACAGAAATGACATTAATTGTGCCGTGATACCAAATACCAAGTGCATCTACCATTTGGGTCCTATGCATATTTGGCTAATGCTTTCTGGTTTTGTGTTTGTTTTAAACATTGAATTTGGACCTTGATCAAAACTTACAGGAGTTTGCCTTACAGAGGGTCCAAGTGAAATACTACCCTTGGAGCTGAAACGAAAGGAAAACAAATGTTCCTCTAAGTAGGGTAAATGTGTTGATTTAAGTTTTAAGATAAAATCCCACCATGATTAGAAACTTGTAGGGGCAATGTAGGCTTTCCTGCCTGTCAATCACTGATATAAGCAACAGTCAAACTCGAAATAAGAGTTTCTCTTCTCAGCAGCAACCTAAAGTGGACACTATTATTTTTTTTAAGAGGAAAAAATAAATAAAAACCAATAATACGGAATTTCAAAACAAGTTAATAGGACATTGGTTAATAATAATTAATATTAACAACGGTTAATATATTGCATATTGTGATTGCATATTCTCCTCACAGGCAATTCCTGAAGCACAGTCAGCCCACACTTTTATCAACTGCCTGAACCTGCAGGAGCAGAGCACTGGCAATTCCACAGCTTTGTGAAGGAAAAAGGCAGAAGGTGTCAGGAGTTCAGGGTTTTAGGTTGCTGTTGTGCTATATGGACTCATGAATTTTGCTGAATCCCTCCCAACCCCCCGCAACTTAGTTGTTCTCACTCTCCCTTTCAATGTGTCAGCTGTGTTTCTTGAATAATTAGGGCTTCCATATTAAGAAGAGCAGGGTCGCTAAGAAATAAGGGCTAGGGTATGGCTCAGGAGCAAAGTACTTGCCTACACAGGAGGCCGAGTCCCTTACCACTACAAAAACCAAAACCACCACTGACTAAAGCAACATTTCCCACTGGGAAGCAGAGGCAGCCTCAGAGTCCTTGGCTTTGGATGCCTGTCATGAGTGGTGTGTAGTCCACACAGCTCTAGCTAACTTCCAAAACTTAGAAGTGATGGCTTTTTTTCCCCTAAAAAAAAACAAAGAAAAATTTCCCCTCTCCTGTTTTCCTCTGCTTGAAAAGTCTTAATGCTTATAGTTTAAAATCCAGCATTAGATTATAGTATCTTTGAGGTTAAGAACAAAGGCATGACTTCATCTGTAGCAGGTACTGCATGTGTTCTCATGCAGAATCTTCAGGAAAACTGTGACATGTAAGTAGAGTAGGGACTATTAACAAAGGGGAAGGGGCCCAGGAGAGGAAGACGAGGGTGTTAGAAGGTTTTAGGGAGGGTAGATACAATCAAAGCATGTTTTATGTATGAATAGCAATGTCATAAGGAAACCCATTATTTTGTATAATGTATATTAATAATTATTTTAAAAAAATTTTTTAAGAATTTGTGTGTAAATTTTCAGTTAGAACAAAACAGCGTATGGTACCTTGGAGTAGATTAATTTCCTTAAGATACAGAAGTCTGAATTGATGAGCACAGCATGGCTTTTTCCAGATATATTCTACGTGTTTTGTTTTTAGCTGAAACCAGCAGTTGCTCAAATTGTCAACTCACCCAACGCTGTAAACCGTGATGACACTTACTCATGAGGGGATACAATATGAAGAGACTTATTTTTACAGTCATTTAGTGATTCATTTTTTTAAAAATTGGAATGCTCCTTAAAAGAGCATTTTTTTACTTTTTAGGAAATTGGAGGAAGCTAATGATTTATGTCATTATTACTAGCTCCTGTGTAAATGATTAGTCACCGACAAGTGTGTCATTTATACTCACTTCAGAAAGGGGTCAAAGAATGTCCTGGGAGAGTAACATTTGTCATTCAGTTACTAGTAGTCTCCAGTTACCCTAAACCTGAGGAATAAAAACACTGGAAGAATTTGATTAATCCTGATTACCCTGCACAAACTGCTACACTGCAGTTTACAGACTTCCTCAAAACACCCCAAATTTGCTAGGATTTCATGCAGAACTAAAAAGGAATGGCAAAATGGCACTATTTCAATGATATCTCTACATTTTCAGGGCAATCTGCCAACTTGGGCAAAAGTCAAGTTCCTTTCCCTTATCCTACCTTTTCTCTTCAAAAAGATTTTGGTTTTTCAGTAAACAAAACTGGAAAATATAAGTTTTAGAAAAAAGAAGACTGCTAGGTGAATTTCATGGAAAAAATGTTAATATAAGTACTTGTAGATGAAAACAAAGATCAGAAGTTAAAAATAAAACACCATTTTGATGTTTTACCTTTTCCAAAAGAGAAGAATCTGACTGTCATGTTTGTAAATATCCATGAGTGGCCACAGAACTGGATTAAATAATAGATGAAAAGATAGACATTCTTCCTATACCTATAAAAAAGGACAAAGCCATTAATTACTTTTCTTATAATTACCTTTTCATCATGATACACACGTCCTTTCCTGTCCTAGTCCATCTGAGCAAAAGCAATCTTCTAAATGAGTCTTCTTTGGTTGCCACCCCCCAACACATTTGCTTTTAAAGGGATCCATAATACTCCACCAAATATCTGCTAAAATGAATATATTTGCATAAGACAAAATATTGGTTTTTTTCAAAATCCACTTTCATCTTTAATAAAGTTCTATTCTTGCCGCTCACCAAGGGGTAAAAGCAATAGCTGCAAAGATACATCAAATATTTGGGGGGAAAAGATGGATGTAGAAGAATTCATAAGGTCCATACACACTCGAGTAGCTCAGTCAGCTAAGTGTGGGACCTAACACTCTGTTTAGGGTTCTGAGAAGACAGCATTGACACCCACAGTCCTGGAGGGTGGACAACTCAGTGTTGGACCCGAGTTTGGGATGCACTGCGCGGTCAGAGTCAGTACCATCCCACTGCCTCCCACTATATTTTGCAAAGGCAGAGAGAGTTTCCTTCAGCATGCGCGTAGCAAATAGTTTACTCAAGCCAACAGGGGGGAAAAAAAGGAAGTTAAGTCAAGTTTAAAAATGCGCTGTGGGCTGCCGGGCAGATGACTAAGCGAACATTGACAGATGCACGGTTTGAGGGAGTTGGGAACGGAACGCACTGTTTGCATTGTCCCCAAGAGTTCCTCACATGTGGCCCTGCCAGTGTAGACACTTCTGGTGGATCATGTGAAACCTCGAGAAACAAGGCAAATACGCTGGAGGCAGGCGCCGTATCTTGTAGCGGTGGCTTTATATGACCAGTGAACAAGAGTTAGTGGAAATCCTCCTCCATCCTGCTTGGGAAGCACTGGCTTGTCCATTAGACACGTGCACTCCTGGACCCTACTTTTCTGCCTGGGAATCACTTTCCCTGGAGTCACAGGGGATGGCGGCTTCTACAGCGGGAAGATCCAAAACTCACCCTCAACGCAGGGAGGGCAAAGCCAAGGGAAGCAGGCCTGGCAGAGGGGCACAGAGGGAGAGGGTGGCCACGCAGGCCTCCTCATTTCCTCGTCTAAACGGGAGAAAGAATCTTCCCAGGGCTTCCGTGAGAATTAAATTAGATACTACCGGTCAGAGCTCTTGGGGATGTGGGCGCAGGGCTGCGCAGCTCTGCTGGGTGCTGGGTGCTGGGTGCTGGGGCCCCGCCCCGGGGGCCCCTCTTCCCGCGCCCTCCCCTGTGGCCGCCGCGGAGCGGGGCGTCCTACCTGGGCTGCAGCCAGGAGGGCAGCGCCACGCGCCCCATGGGGGGCCGCCGCCGGGACCTCCGCGCCCTGCGGGAAGCGACTCTGGCAGCGGAGGCGGAGCAGTGCGAGGCAGGGCGGGGCCTCTGCACGCTCAGCAGCGCTGGAGAACCAGCCTGAGGGCTAGCGCGGGCAGGAGATGAAAACCCAGTTCCTGCTGCTCCGCGCAGCGCAGCGCCGCGCCATGAAGGCTGAGCGGGGCGTGGAGAGAGCTCGAGGCGGCCTCCGGACCACAGCTCTGATCACGACTCTGTTCTTCGTGGAGAGCCCCGTGGACAGCAGTGCTCCCGAGCTGCACCTGGAGCATTGAAACTAACTGACGCCCGTCCCAAAGCCTCCCGGGCGCGCGGGTCCTAGGGTGGGCGTCTCTATACAACTCACCTGTGAGAGAGTCAGAAACGAGGCTGGTGATGATGCGTCCCCAGCACCTCTTCCATGTAGGATGTGATTCCTTCAGAAATCCATCCCCGCCTTCAGTCCTTACTGACGCTTGCCAAATCATTTTATTCACATTGCATTGATCTCCTTACCCTATGCCCAGCACTGCTAAACCTTCTGTATCCCTCATCACCCGCTCCACAGTCAGGTGAACTCCCTCACTGATAAGATGGGGACCGTCTGCCGACTATCCTGCCCTAAAACAGAAACACACAAAGAAGGCTTTTACCTAGTGGGACAGAGCACTCACTGGAGTTGGAAGCTACTGCCCCACATATGAAAAAGGAAGATAAAGATTTAAAAAATATTGTTACCGTGGGTCGCACAAACTGATAAAGGAGGTGAATATTTCCCCCCATTAGGTCATAGTTTTCTTTCTCATAGTCCAGTCACTACAAACACCTTTCATCCCTGGATTTCTCTGCACCTTCTTATAGTGCAGAGAAATGATTCACTCCCTGCCGTCCACCAAGGATTTACCTCTTGCCTGTAGAATAACAGGTTCCCTTCTCAAACCTGCTGGGTTAGTCTCCTTTGGTCTTCGTCCTCTCCTTTCCATCACCTTTCATCACAGCTTAGAAACACACTCGGATCACTCTTACCTTAGAATTAAAACTCTTAACTCCCTGCTTGCTGTCTCCCATAATCAGGTACTTAGTTCATTACTTGACATCTTGTTCCATAACACCTTGGGGGATGGCTTCCCAACCTCCTGAAACTGCTTTCTCAGGATACCCTTTGTCCCTTTCCTACATCACTCTGCTGACAGCCCACTCCTCCCTCCCCTCTGCATAGAGTCTTCTAGCCTGGGGCTAAGCTATGGATAACTTGACGTCCACCCAACTGAGGCCAGAGAAGCAACCTATCTCTCCAAGAGTGATTTCTATTTTCTCCTTCTCATTCCAGAGATAAACCTCCAGCTCCCTTTTAGTGCATGCTCCAAACCCTCTCCAATCCCAAGACTCCACAAACACCCAAGCACTCCATCCCCAGCCACCCGGTAAATCTTTCTGTCTCCACAGGCAGATGCTCCTTCAAATCAGCTGTTGATCTGTCATTTTGCCCACCTCTCAAACTCCTCCCCCAGCCAAACCTGATAAAGATAGCTTCACTTTTTGTTCTGAGTACCCCACCTGCACTCCTTTGCAGTTCTCCCCTCCCCACAACAAAGGCCTTTCTACTCTGCATCTCTCTTTATTTCTTCAGCACTATCTTAAATTGAGTGCCAAACATACTCAATCAACTCCACCCCATTTTTGAACAGTCATTGATTTTAGGGAGTATTTAATCTGAAGAACAAACTAATAGTTCTCAAACACTGGTAGGGAATCTATCAAGACCACTTCTGCTCTGGGGGAAGCAGAGACCCAGAAAGTCCCAGATCTGGAGTGGGGTGGGAGAGAGAATGGGAAATCTGCGTGGAAAAATTACTACAAACAGCCCCGCAGCTCCGCCTCCTTGGCAGATAGTATTTCACACTTTCTCCTCTCCTGCCTTTATGTCTCTGCAATTCCCCACACTCTGCTACCGCTCTGCCCTTTCTGTCTCTCTGGATGGGTCCTCTCTTGGGGCTGCCCTTGGTCATATTTTTTTTTGTCACTGTGTTATCCTTAAGCACAGACACTCGCCACACATGGTTTTATCGCCTTCCTAACCACTTCTGACTTCAGTGAGACCTTGATACTTCTTGCTAATTCATTCTGGAAAGCAGGACAAGTGCCCAAACCAACAAGTACAGAATCCAAATTTTCCCACTAGAAATAATTTGTGAAAGTTCTCCCCAAAACTTTCACATTTTACTGGGCTAATAGCAGCCTTTTCTTGGCCTAATATAAGCCTTTTATACTGGGTCAGACTAATTCTAAAGCCAATGAGTATCAAGATACAACTGTATTATCTGCAGCCCTGCTTCTTTTATGAATGTCATCTCTGCTTCTAGATCTGTCTTCATGAAACCATTCTATTACTTTCCAGCTAAGATAGGGTTACTTCTTTCTTCCCAAACCATTGCCTTATTTCCCACAGAGAAATCACCATTTTCCTAGCTACATGGGTTTAAATTATGGGTGACATTATTGTGTCTCTCAATGCAGTCAAATACTATTGATTTTATTCTTCGAAGATTGTCTACTGAGCACCAGCATTGCACTTTAGTTTCTGGATGTCCAGTACCAGGATGAAAAGCAACTGGCCTTTCTTGAATCCTCTCTCTATACCATGCCTACAAGGCCATCCTATAAGCATCATTGGAACTACATTTTTCTCCTGCACACACATAAAAAGCTCCTTTGTAATTGTCAAACAAAAAATAAGCCAACAATCAACAAACAATATTTTAAAATCAAGCAGAGGCTTTGTCATGGTTTATGCTGGTGGCCCCCAGGCCTCATGCATTTCCATTATGCATTTGTGATTGGTTCATTGTCTAGAGCTTGGAATGGGGGTGTGAGTGCTACATCAGCCTAGGAGTGGAGTCAGGATGTAACGTAATGGCAGGAAGAAGGTGTGCCTCTCTTGCTGGTTCCTGCCTTGCTGTTTGCAGCCATCATGAACTACAGCCCTGCCATGCCACCCTGCCTTGGAGAGTATGGACTGAAACCTCCAAAAATTGTGAGAAATAAACCTTTCCTTTCCCAACATTGGTCATCAGATATTTTGTCTCAGCCACGAATTAAAAGTAACTAAGACACTAAGGAAAGACTAAAATACACTTTTAAGACTTAGAAGGATCTGGAGCAAAACATCAGGTCACTCTTTTTGTTTAAATCCCTTATAAAACCCATATTCAAAACAATGTCAACTTTTAGGAATTAGAGTGTCTCCTGTATTTGAAGCCATCTCAAAATTTTTATTGATAAATGAGAAATATTACTAAAAACTGTTTCTGTACATATGGAAAATTCTGATTTCCATCTAAAATTTTAAGTGATTAAATGCTATGTTCTCTATGTTTCACTTTTGGCAGAGTCCAATGAACTAGTCTGTCAACATCCTTTACTACTCCATTCAGAAAACCAAACCCCAAGGCTTACATGCTTGCCTTGTTGCGTCAGAAATTCCTCAATTTAATCCCTGTCCTATTCCAAGGCAAATGTATTCAAATGTGACTGTTTCACTCAGTTATGCCAGAACCATCTTTCAATATATTTTCTAAGCCTTGAACATTCTTCCCACCCAGTTCATTTTACTCTGGTACTCTTTGCTGTATTTGTGTAACAACATTTCTCATTTATATCACATAATCTTCAGATCAGCCTATATGATATGAACTGTTTTTACCTTTTAAAACCAAGCAAACGAGTCAGACCGGTTAATTATTTTGACCAAGCTCACACAGTTAATAAATGTTGGAACCTGCACTGGAGCTTTAGTCTGTTTTTAGACATCCAAATTCTCACCACTATTCTCTATTAACTTATTTCAAATAATTGTTCAGTATCTGTTTGCAGTACTAATATGCTTTATATTGTATGTAATAGAACCAAATGTTAACATTCTTGTAAAAGCTAAAAAAATACTATTTCTAGAGGAAAGCACATAGAAAAAGTATTGTGCTGTCGAACAGGGAGATATTTCTTGGATTTTTTTTCATAGATTCTTCTTAGATAATTTTTAAATACCTAATCAAGAATGTCTTACTGCTTCTGGTCATCAAAAGATAATTTTAACTGAAGAAAAAGGCAAGCTACAGACTAGGAGAAACTATCACATGTGTGATTAATAAAGGCCATGTATGCAAACAATATAGAGAGAACTTACAGCAGTCAATAAGAAGACAAGGGACAAAATAAAAATGGGCAAAAGATTTGAACACATGCTTCACCAAAGAATGCAATGTAAGTAACATAAAATGATGCTCAAAAGTCATTATTTATTAGGGAAGTACAAATAAAAATCACAATGAGATACCACTGCGCACACGTAAAGAAATCTACTTTAAAAAGACACACCACCTGAAATGTTAGTTAAGAGGTTAGCTGGGACTGTCACGCGCAGATTTACTTGAAATGACCCCAAACTAGAAACAACCCAAAGGTCCATCAGTAGAGAACAGACAGATAAGCACGATATGGCCATGCATAGAATATTAGCAATTGAAAAGGAAATGAATTACTCATCTGGAAAACAGGGGTGCAACTCAACATAATTATGCTGAGGATAAGATTTTAAAAAGAGTGCTCATTGCATGAGTTCACTACTCTAAATTCTAGGAAATGGAAACTAGTCTACGGCGACAGAAGGCAAATCAGTGGCCGCCTGAGAATGGATTAACGGGAAGGACCTGAGGGACACACTGCAAAGGAGGGGGAGGGATGGAGATGGTCTCTGTCTGGAGTGTGGTGATGGTATGTATCTTAAACCCTATCACATTGAAATTTACAGATTTTACTGTCTGTTGGTTGTCTTGCACTTTAGTAAAGCTATTATAGCTTAACATACTAACATTTTATAAAGAGAAACATTTTGTTATCTGTTTTTGAAGAACTGATTTATTCTTGTTCATGAAACAGTATCCATTTATCAAAGGTAAACAAAACCAAGAAAATCCTTACCAATGGAAAGGACTCAATACTCTGCAGCTGAATCTCTTGAGTTCCTGCCCTACTCTCTAGAGTACCAAGGTGTGTATGGCAGTTTGCATGACCTAAATGTGAAGAAAATGGGCTCCTGATCTGTG